CTTTCCCAGGCTGTAGCAGAGAGCTGGACTGAAGTGGAACAGCCAGGACTAGAACTGGTACCCATATGGGGTGCCAACATTGCAGGCAGTGGTTTTACCGGCTATGCCACAGTGCCGGCCCCATGTGCATTTCTAAGAGGGCTGTTCTAGTGGTGGCAATGCTTTCTGCTTTTGCTTGTCATAGAAAATCTTTATTTCTCCTTCACCTCTGGAAGATAGCTTTCTGGGAATAGTATTCTTGGCTGGCTTTTTTTTTTTCTTTTAGAACTTTGAGTGTTGTATTCCATTCTCTCCTGCCCGTAAGGTTTCAGAGGAAAAGTCTGCCATTAATTTAACAGGCATTCTCTTGTAACTGACTTATGCCTTTCTCTTGGTTTTAAAAATTTATTTATTTATTTATTTGAAAGTCAGAGATTCACAAAGAGAGGAAGAAAGTGGGGGAGCAGAGTGAGAGAGAGAGAGAGAATCTTCCATCTGCTGGTTCACTCTCCAGATGGCTGTAAGGGTCAGGGCTGGGCCATGCCGAAGCCAGGGACCAGGAGCTTCATCTGGGTTTCTCATGTGAGTACAGGAGCCCAAACCTTTGGGCCATTTCTTCTGCTTTTTACAGGTCATTACCAGGGAGCTGGATTGGAAGTGGAGCAGCCAGGAAATGAACAGGTGCCCATGTAGGATGCCGGCATTGTAGGCAGTGTCTTTATCCCCTACACCACAACACCGGCCCCTGTTTTAAGAATACTCTTTGGGGCTGGCGCTGTGGTGTAGTGCACTGCCTGTGGTGCTGGCATCCCATGTGGGCGCTGGTTCAAGTCCTGGCTGCTCCACTTCCAGTCCAGCTTTCTGCTGTGGCCTGGGAAAACAGTAGAGGATGGCTAGGAAGGGTGGCTTGCAGAGGAGGGCTCTTCCGCAAGTGCTGCGGAGCTGCTGGGAGCAGTTCCCGGAGGTGGAGGTGGGGCAGGTGGGCGGGGTCTCAAGATGGTTGTAGGCAGCTGAGCCTGGGAGGGGGAGGGTGCAGTGAGCACTGGGTTCTTTCTCCAGGGCAAGGCAGCCCTGTGGGAGCCCAGCAGCTCCGGTTCTGGTGACGTAAATGCCTCAGGTGCCTGTGACCCAAGCCGAGAATGCCCGGGGGCCCTCCTGCTTGGCCTTTTCCCACTCTTGGTTCGAGGTTGGTGACGAGAGATGCTGTGTGCTTGGTTCCCGTCCTCACAAGGCCGTCGCCATCTGCCAGCTGCACAGCGTGCTCATTTCCCTGCCCCACACCCCCGTGAGCCTTCTGAGGTGCCCTGGGACTCGGTTTCCACAGCGTCGGGCTTCAGTGTCAGTCATGGTTCGTCTTTGCTCCAGCCAGAGCCGTCACAAGGCAGCGTCTGCATTAGAGACTTCTTTAGATTCAGCGCAGGTACCTTGAGTGGGCAGGTTAGTGCGCAGAGTTTATGTTTTCACCGTGTGAGATGAACATATTTTGGGATGTGAGGAAGACACATTGCAAAGCATCAGTCTAGTTGAGAATGCCACAGCCAAGCGGTCTATTAACTGCATCCATGCGTTTTTCCAGGCTCATCTGGGCCCGGGTAGAGTTGTCTTCCGGAGACTTCATGCCTGCACTTTCTCTCTAAGGTTCACCTTTGGCCAAGGCCAAGCCAGGGCAGGTCCTTCCTGTGGTCCTGAGCCCAGGTGGTGGTTGACCTGCTTTGCCTGGTTGAACCTCACATTCCTTTTGAGGCTTTGGGATGGACGTCAGAAGGGGAAAGGGAAGAAAATCCCCATTGGAGGGGTTGGTTGTACTGTAGTACAAGCCCTTGCCTGCTGCAAACCAAGGCTGTTCTCTGAGTTAGGCTTGGGCCTGCTTCCCAAGAGTCTATCTGCTTTTCCACTACAGCTCCCAGGTCTCCCGGGCCCAGCCGGTCCTGCCATCCTTGGCCTGCGGTGGAGCCTGGCCCCAGGTTCTACCAGAACCTGAACAACATGACTTCACTAAGTGCAAACAAGGATGACTCAAAGGAGCTTGTGCTGGTGGAACCTGTGATGAATTCAGAGGTAGAGGAATGACAACTCGGAACAGGCCTTTGAGAGAACTGTGATGAGGCTTCTTAGATAAAATCAAATCTTGATGGGAACTCAGGGAACATTTTGCCTAACAGAGATAATGAAAGCAAAGTTGCACTCTTTTTCTTGTTGAAATGAAACGGGGGAGGCTGGGCTGGATGACAAGACTAAGAGGATGCAGCGATCTGTAATTAGGACATGGGAGCATGTAAGAAGGCATTAGAGACAACGTGGATCATCAGCGTCTCAGATACAGCTTGTGCGTTGACTACCTTTCGAGAAAAAGAGTTTTGTCTGGAATATTGGATAAGCTCTAGAGAGAGAAGTGATTTTCCACATGAAGGGTTGGTTTCAACTACTTCCATTTTTTTTTAAAAAAGATTTATTTATTATTTTATTTGAAAGGCAGAGTTACAATGATAGAGGGGGAAACACACACACACACACATACCCCTCCATCTGCTGCTTCATTCCCAAATGGCTGCAATGGCCAGGGCTGGGTAGAAGCCTGGAACTCCATCCGTCTGTCCCAGGTGGCTGGCAGGGTCCAACCCCTTGGTCCTTTCCCCCTTGCTTTCTCAGGTACATTAGCAGGGAACTGGATCAGAAGTGGAGCAGTGCTCATATGGGATGCCAACATTGCCTGTGGTGGCTTAACCCCTGAACCACAATGCTGGCCTCTCATCTGCTTCCGTTAATGCTTGTGGTCAAAGGCAGTTTGGCTAATACACTTAGGATCCCCGATTTTCCTACCGTTTTCTCTGTCCTGAGAGATAGAATATTTTGACCCTTCGATGAACAGGCTAACTGTGTATCTTTCTCTGCCAGCTTGAATCCAAGCTGGAGCCTTGAACATTGCCAGGCACTGATAAAGGTGTTTAGGTTGTTGCCTAGAACACTGAAAGAAATAAGTCCCAGTCTTAAGCTGAGTTCCTTAAGCCCTCATAAAAACTGCGCCACCACCCTCTTGTAGAGGACAAACCCAGGTAGGAAAATTTTCTCTCATTACACTTCATGAGGGTCACTGCGGTGACCGTGGCCTTCCGTGCTTCTTTGGAATCTCCACCAGCTCTATCTTAGGGGGCTTTAGCATACTCCCTTGTAGGAATTTGAGGGGTGACTCCAGCTGGGCTTGGTGGGGACTCTAGCTGGGTTTGGTAGCATCAATTATAATGTTGCCTTTTTCTAAAAAAAAAAAAAAAAAAAAGATTTATTTACTTATTTGACTGAGTCGGGGGGGCGAGGTGGAGGGAGAGAAGGAGGGGGAGAGAGAGAGAAGAGGGAAGAGAGAGCTTCCTTCTGCTGGTTCACTCCCCAAATGACTGCAATGGCTGGAACTGGACCAGGCCGAAGCCAGGAGCCAGGAGCTTCATCCTGGTCTCCCACATGGGTGCAGGGACCCAAGCACTTGGGCCATCTCCTACTGCTTTCCCAGGTGCATTAGCAGGGATGGCTGTTTGGGGATCTTTTATGGTTTGGATGATAGTTTGAGTATCCCTCAAGTCCCATGTGTTAGGGGCTTGATTCTTAGAGTCTTAAGTTAATGGATTAAGGAAGGAGCTTAATTCAATTAGGGTGTCTGAAAGTGGGGCCTTAGAAAGGGATCAGATCGGACTGGACTGCTGGTTTGGAGCTCGTGTGATTGAATTAGGGTGGTTTTATTAGGAGGGACCCCAGACACGGGAAGAATGTGCTCTCTATCTCTCTGCTTCCTGGCTCAGCATGTCATCATCCCTGTGTAACGTGCTCCACCCTCACCAACCTCCACCATCATCAACTGCAAGGCTGATGGGTTACCCGATCTTTGACTGCGAACCTCCAAAACTGTGAGCCTAGGAAAACCCTTCTTCCTTCCTAACTGGCTCTCACAGATGTCTGTTACAGTGAAGAAAAGCTGACTAATACAGAGGCCTTTGATATTCCAAGTGGATTTTAGAATGGATATTTTTGCTCTTGTAAAAGAGTTGTTGAGGTTTTTGTAGGGATTACATTGATGCTGTAGATCATTTTGGATAGCATTTTAACTGTCTCAAGTCCTCCCATTCACAAACACAGATGTCTTTCCACTATTTGTGTCATCTTTCATTTCTTTCAGCAATGTTTTGTGGCTTTCAATACACAAATGTTTTGCTGCCATGGTTAGATTTATTCCTGAGGATTTTATTCTTCTGGATGCTATTGTGATTGGAATTAGTTTTGTAATTTCCTTTTTGGATTGTTTATTGTGCATGTATAGCAATGCAACTAGGGATGGCGTGTGGTGCAGTGGTTTGAGCTGCTGCTTGCGATGACGACCTCCCATATGAGCACCAGTTGGAGTCTTGGCTGCTTCACTTCCGATCCAGGTCCCTGCTAACATGCCTGGGAAAGCAGCGGAAGATGGCTCATATGCTTGGCTCCTTGCTGTCTGTGTGGGAGACCAGGATGGAGTTCCAGGCTTCTGGCTTTGGCCTGGCCCAGCCTCAGTCATTGTGGATGGAAGATCTCCGTGTCTCTGTTTTTCCCTGTTACTCTGGCTTTCAAATAAATACATCTTTTTTTGAAAAAATAAATGCAACTAATCTTTGTGTATTGATTTTATATTCTGAAACTTTGTGGAATTAATATAACTGTGTGTATGTGTGTGTGTGTGTGTACTCTTCAAGATTTTTCTACATACAAGATCATTTCATCTGTGAACAGAGATTATTTTTCCTTTCCAGTTTTTTTTCTTGACTGCTCTAGCTAGAAGAATGGACATCCTTGTCTTGTTCTCAGTCTTACAAGAAAAACTTTCAGTCTTTCACCATCGAGTGTGATGTTAACTGCGGATTTTTCATATATGGCTTCACTGTGTTGGGATGGTTTCCTTCCTAAGGGGAGATGTCAGCACATGAAAAGGAAAGCAACTAAGAAAAAACACACAGAACACTAAGTGTAGCCTGTGAAGCAGGGAAGGAGACAAGGTTTATCTGTGGCTCAGTGTCGGAGACACATGGCCTGAGCTCTGCTGAAGCGCGCTTGGCCGAGCTGCAAAGGTGACCGGTCAGGCTGTGCCGCTAGCAGAGGTCAGCCGCCTGACGCCGAGGCAGGTGTGGAGATGCCGTGGGCTCGGGCAGCAGCAGTTGAAACATTCTCTCCTGGTTAGTGTTTGGTGGGGAAGAATGTGTTTTCTTTAGGATTTCCCGATCCTGGGATGACCGTTGTAGTTACTAGTTTTTAAGTCGTTGTGAGTAACCTGTGGTTTCCTATACTTTCCTATAATCACTGAGACTTATTATTGCTTGTTTTTCTGTATTTAAAGTTCCTTGATGCAAGACCCTGTTTTTGTGAAGCTGCACATTGTTTATGATGAATGGATTACATCACTGGTGATAATAAAACTGGGACGAACCGGGCATCGGGGCCTCTGCTGTTGCCTTTGGTCTTTGACAGAGACTCTGGTTTCCGCACACAGAATCAATCTGCGTCTGTTTCTGTTGTGGGCGAGGTTGGTTGGGCCTAAATTTCTATTCCGGACTCTTGCCTTTTACGTGGAGGACTCTGAGTACAGGCACAAACGTGCCGTGCAGTGCGAAGAGGTTTATTTACACAGTGAGAGAATGCACAGGCACCGGAGGGCTTTATCTAGGGAGCGTGCGGAAGGACGGGTAGAGAGGGACTTCCACACCCTGCTTTCCCTGGGTCGGTGAGGGGAGAGAGCAGGGGAGCGAGAGAGAGCCCCCTCCCCTTTACCAGGCTTCTTACACGCTTAGAAAAGGGAGTGGTTACAAAGTACTGCCCGAAGGTCTCGGTGAGGAGAGGTACATCCTGGGGAAGGGGTCATCTGATTGACAGTCGGGTTGATATGGTAACACGGAGTAGGGGAGGTGTGGCTTCCAGGTCCTGAACTTAAGCTGTGTGCCTGACTTGCCCCACATCACTTCTGTACTCTGTGCCCTGCGGTGCTGCACTGGACGAAGCCGAGTGGCGAGGAGAGGAGAAAGTGAAACACAGACGGCCAGCGGCAGCCCTGGTGCTGGTCAGAGTCGCGGCCGTGAGAAGGCAAGTAGTTTTGTTTTGTTCAAACCAGGGTAACAGTGGGAGCAAAATCAATCTCTGGGAGGTAGCATTCTGTTCAGTCACTGAGATATATGCTTAAACAACCAGGAGCTAACATCTCAGAAACTAAATTGGAGGACCTTTTAGAGGCTGTAATTAAGCATAATCCTTGGTTCCTAACAAGGTACTGTAGATGCTGAATGTTGGGATAGAGTAGGGGAAGATTTGATTTGATTTATTTATTTATTTTTCAAGATTTATTTATTTGAAAGAGTTACAGAGAGATAGAGGTGGCGAGAGAGATCTTCCATCTGCTGGTTCACTCTCCAAATGGCTGCAATGACCAGAGCTGGGCCAATCTGAAGCCAGGAACCAGGAGATTTTTCTGGGTCTCCCATGTGGGTGCAGGGGCCTAAGGACTTAGTCCGTCTTCTGCTGCTTTCCCAGATGCATTAGCAGGGAGCTGGATTGGAAGTGGAGCAGCTGGGACCTGAACCAGTGCCCATGTGGGATGCCGGCACTGCAAGCGGCAGCTTTACCCACTACACCACAGCGCCGGCCCCAGAAGGGGAAAATTTTAAAAGGGCTCACAAAACTGGAGCTTCTCCCCTGGTGACAAGTTTCTCTACTTGGAGTTTAATAAAACACATCTTGGAACCCATAACAGAGCCTCCTAGGCAAAACAGCCCCACTGCTGCACTTCCTTCCACAAATCTTTTCGCTTCCTCTGCTGACAAGCCTAGGTAGGCTGCCCTCAGTCCAAGCTGCAGCAGAGTCAGCTTAGATCAAGTCCAGCTTGTAGGTCCCACAACCATGGAACCTGGTCCACAAGCAGAAGGTCGCATGCTGCCTTTACGTCAAACTTTCGATTTCAAGTCTCTGAAAGCTCTTAGAGATGGTGTGATTGAAATCAGAGTGACTGCCCCTTCTACTGCAAGTATGACTGAAACCATAGGTCAGTGACACTCCTGCCGTGGGATTGGTTCGTGTTAGCCAAAGCTATGCTAGATAGAGGAGAGTGTTTGATTTGGAAATTTAGCTTAGCAGGTTTCTGTCAGGAATGAGCACAGGCTAATCAAAGAAATAACATCCCAATCACCTTGGAAATGCTCACTGGAATAGGACTTTATCTAGAATTGGAGAATCAGCTAACTTAGGACGAACTCTGAGCTTATGAACAGCACATAGGGTTTGGATGACTAGCAGCCCACAGGGCTTGGATGACTATACCAGAAACACGGAACGCCCAGGGGCCCTTTACTCAATGTCTCCAAGGCCCTAGCGAGCCATATTCCCAACGTGTGGATCGGTTAACACGAGCAGTTCAGACAGGTATCACACAGTCAGGCTGCAGAAATTATTTTTTATTTATTTATTTATTTATTTATTTTGACAGGCAGAGTGGACAGTGAGAGAGACAGAGAGAAAGGTCTTCCTTTGCCGTTGGTTCATTCTGCAATGGCCTCTGTGGCTGGCACGCTGCAGCCGGCGCACCGCGCTATTCCGAAGCCAGGAGCCAGGTACTTCTCCTGGTCTCCCATGCAGGTGCAGGGCCCAAGGACTTGGGCCGTCCTCCACTGCCTTCCTGGGCCACGGCAGAGAGCTGGCCTGGAAGGGGGCAGCCGGGACAGAATCTGGCACCCCGACCGGGACTAGAACCCAGTGTGCCGGTGCTGCAGACGGAGGATTAGCCTATTGAGCCGCGGCGCCAGCCAGGCTGCAGAAATTCTGATAACGCAAATGGCATGTGAAAATGTAAATAAAGATGGTTAGAAGACTGCAGCACTCATTAAAACACACACACACACACACACACAGGGAATTTCAGACTATATTAGAGCTTGTCAGGCTATCGGCAGAACCTGCCATACCCAAGCAATGTTGGCATCGGCTCTTAAAGGAACATATAGTGCAGCCAAAAGAGGTGTTTCAGTTGTGGTAAATTAGGACATTTGTGAAAGGATTGCAGACAGAATCCAAAAACTGCAATGAGTCACCTACCTTTTGTTGCTCCAGGGTTATGCCCTAGATGTAAAAGAAGCAACCATTGGGCAAATCAATGGGAATCTAAATTCTATGAGGATGGCACTCCTTTAGTTGTTCAGCCTTCGGGAATCGGGAAACCGGGCCCACCCCAGCCCTGTCAACCAATGAGGGAATTTGTGGCTCCGACCCCAAGCAAATTGTCTCTGTCTTCAGAGCCACCTCAAACAGTGCAGGGCTGGACTTACCTGCTCCATCTCGACAGTACTAACCTTTGAACAAGGAGTCTAGGCCATTCCTACAGAAATATATGGCCCTGTTCCATCGAAAATAGGTGGATCGGGGCACTTGGTGTAGTGGGTAAAGTCGCCACCTGCGGTGCCAGCATCCCTTATGGGTGCCAGGTCGAGTCCTGGCTACTCCACTTCTGATCCTGCTCTCTTCTATGGCCTGGGAAAGTGGTAGAAGATGGCCCAAGTCTTTGGGCCCCTGTATCCATGTGGGGGACCTGGAGGAAGCTCCTGGCTCCTGGCTTTGGATCGGCACAGCTCTGGCCATTGTGGCCATCTGGAGGTGAACCAGTGGATAGAAGACCTCTCTCTCTCTCTCTCGCTCTCGCTCTCTCTTTCTGCCTTCAAATAAATAAATCTTTTAAAAAAGGAAAGAAAATAGTTGGATTAATCATTGGAAGAAGTAACACTCCAGTGTTACCTGGAGTCATTGACGCTGATTTTCAAGGGGGGAATTAAAGTAATGGCAAATCAAATCCTATTCATACATTGCAACCAGGCATGAGAATTGCAGTTACTAATTTGACCTTATCTTCACTTAGGAAGACGCCGCTCTAAGGAGCTTGGCGGTTCAGGCGCTTCTCAAGTGTTTTAGACTCAGGCCCTTCCTGCAGAAAGACCTCAGATGATCACAAAGGTAAGTGGGGAAAGGCTCACAGGCACACAGGCTCAGGGCCAGACGCCTCTGGGATCCACAGGCTTGGGAAGCCACACCCCAGAGTGCAGGCTGAGGGGGTTAGGGGCTCCTACCCTAGGAAGGCAAAGTACAGGAGAACTTTTCTGGGGAAGGCCTGAAGGAAAATCAGGCTATTTTAAGCTCTGTATAGCTGATATTCCTGTCACCTTATGGGATCAAGATTTGCTCTCAGCCATGAAACTAAAATTAACCACTGCAAAATTTTTTTTTTTAAGATTTAATTTTTTGAGAGAGGCGGAGAGAGAGAGAACCATTGGGTTCACTCCCCAAAAGGCCACTGTAACTGGAGCTGAGCTGATCAGGAGCCAGGAGCTTTTTCTGGGTCTCCATGTGGATGCAGGGGCCCAAGGACTTGGGCCATTTCCCACTGCTTTCCCAGGCCATAGAGGAGAGATGGATGGGAAGTGGAGCAGCAGGAAATCAAACCGGCGCCCATATGGGATGCCGGCGTCACAGGCTGAGGCCTAGCCTGCTACGCCACAGCACCCGCCCTGAGGATGTTTTTCTTACAAGTACTTCTGATGTGTCTCACAGTTCCCTGGGCTGGGAAATAATGGAAAGATGTGATTATTCATCAGGTCAAGGGTCAAGAGAAAATAGTCAAGAAGTCCCTGAGCCTACTGAGACTCACCCAAAAAACAATCAGCAAGGACTCAGCTATTCTGAGGATTTTTCCTTGGGGCCACCGAAGCTTCTCCATTAGTCCATGCAGAGCCATGCAGTGGACTAATGCTGACCCTGTAGGGTGGATCAGTGGTCCCCGGGTGAGGAGACGCTCTCACACGTACATGGAATTAGTTGATGAGCAACTTAAGGTGGGACATACTGAAGAGACCACTAGCCCTAGGAACACATCCATTTTTACTATCCCTAAAAAGTCAGGAAAATGGAGACTTCTACATGACTTTAAGAGAAATAAACAAAACTGTGCAGACTCTGGGTGCTTTACAGCCCGAGCTTCCTTCCCTCACAGCAGTTCCTGCAGAGTGGAAGTTAGTAGTTATAGATCTCAAAGACTGCTTTTTTTCCCCAGTTCCTTTAGCACCTCAGGATAAACAGAGATTTGCTCTTTCAGCACCAACATTCAATAACACAGCTCCCACGCAAGGTGTCAGTGGAAGGTTTCCCTCCAAGAATGAAAAATAGTCAGAGTAAACCTACTATGTGTCAGAAATTCATTGACAAAGCCTTAGCAGCTATACTTCCAAATTTCCTTCTATTTATCTCGTACATTATATGGATGCTATCTCAGTTTCTGCTCCTCCAGAAAGATGGGTTCAGCAGGTATTACTAGAAACAGAACAACATCTTAAAGCAAAAGGCTTTCTACTGCGCCTGAAAAAATACAACAACTACCACCCTTTAAATGTTTGGGAACAATAATTGCAAATAGATCAATTAAGCCACAGAAGATAGAGAGCCAAAGGGATAAAGACTCTTAATGATTTTCAAAAGTTATTGGGAAATATAAATTGGCTTCATCCTTATTTAGCAATTTCTCCACCAATTAGCAAATTCATTTAAAATGCTTGAAGGGGACCCAGACCTTTCATCTCCTCAACAGATGTCATCTGCTGTGCTGGCCGAATCAAAGCTGGTCGAAGCGTAGAGTTCAATCACAGCGCACTGATCATGCTAGTACTTCCCGTAGTTCTTCCTGCCAGTGTGTCTCCCACGGCTGTTCTTATACAGCAACGGCCACATTTCGGTGTTGTAGAGTGGATTCATCTCCCTAATCGGGAAATGAAAACAGCTGCATTGTATGTGAATCTTATAGCAAAAATCATCAACCAAGACGTAAGTGTCTTACTCAACTTACCGGGCAAGATCCAGAAATTATACATGTGCCTTTAGATAAATGTCAGAGAGACCCTTTTTCAAATTTCTGTTCCTTGGCAGATAGCCTTACCGAATTTTGCAGGATATCTTGATAATGGTCCCCCCAAAATAAACTTCTAAGGTTTCTACAAGAAACTACTTTTATCGTTCCTCAAATCACTCAGACACAACCTATTCCAGGTGCAGAGACATGCTTTACTGATGGGTCCTTCAATGGGAAGGCTGGCCTAAAGGGCCCTTATCTTACAAACGTTATTCCGACTCTAGTACAAAAATTGGAAACAGCTAAACTAAAGTAATTACAGGAAACAGCTAAACTAAAGTAATTACAGGATGAAGAATTATTTATGTTATTCTTCCAGATGCAACAAGTAATCTGAAATAGGACCTCACCCTTTTTTATTACTCATGTTAGGTCTCATACTTCTTTGCCAGGACCTCCACACACAGCAAATGATACAGTTGACGAGTTGATGATGTCAGCATTTGAAATGGCTAGGGCCTCCCATACGTTGTTGCAGGAACCTGTGGCAATGCTAAGACGACAATTTCATATTTTCAAGGCCCAGGCCCAGAATATCCTAAGAATGTGTCAAAATTTGGCTCCCACTCTGGTTAATGAAGGGGTTGATCCTAGAGGACTTGGGAGCCATGAGCTGTGGCAAATGGATGTTATGCATACAAATTCACTTGGGCGTCTAAAACGTGTTCATGTCAGAGTTGATACCTTCTGCTCACTCATCTGGGCACCTGCACAGGTGGGTGGAACCTTTCACATGTTAAAAATCCTTGTTTAGAAGCTTTCGCTGTCCTCGGCATTCTGCACTCTGTAAGAACTGACAACGGCCCAGCTTGTACAAGTGAGGCCTTTGATGATTTCTGTCAAATTTGGGGAGTTCTCCGTATTACTGGCATCCCTTATAGCCCACAAGCTCAAGAGATAATTGGATGTCCTTATTTAAAACTAAAAAGCCAAAGGGGGAATCTGATGGCCTTTCATGACAGCAAAGCCCCGTCACAGACTAAAACTAGCCCTACTAACTTTAATTTTTTTTATTTGTTATAATCAAAATGTGAGTTCTATGGAAAGACATTCTGGTCAAAAATCTGCAAGCCCTTCTCCACTTGTCAATTGGAAAACCAAGAAGAAGGAATTTGGAAAGGACCGGACCCCTTACTAACCTGGGGAAGGGGATTTGCTTGTCTTTCCTAAACAGCTGCAACACCCTTCTGGATTCCAGGTGCTTCCATCAGGCCGGGGCGTGGAGGATGACCAGCTAGACCAGAGCTTCCGGAGGACGGCCTTGAACCCCAGCGGGACCCAGAAGGCGCCAGCCATTAGTATGATACCAACTACGAAGACCAGAGCAACCCCTGATTCCTCTCCAGTCACCTGGGGCCAGTTCAAAAACACCATTCAAGCCACTGAAAACCTTTGTCAACAAAACCTTCCTCTCACCTCCTCAGCCAGCCTCTGGATGGGTGTCTTCACCATACTTTCTGTTGTGGTAGCAGGGGTGCAGGGGGAACATTACTGGGCATTTATCCCCAGGCCCCCAGTGTTGAGAGCAATGACCTGGATTGACAGACCACCTCTTGTATATGTTAATGATACAACTCACATGCCCCATCCCAAAATTACGAATTTTCCAGATATGACAAAAGAAGGAACTCCATTTAATTATACTGGTCAAACAGTATACAGGCCCTTTTGTATCACAAAAAATCAGTCTCTTAGTCCAGCATGTGTTTCCATTGGGTATCAAGGATGGCTTTTGCAGTCACCGGATACAGACTCCTCCACTCAGGGTCTGTATTTGCTTAGAGCATATAGTCTTAGAGGGGCAGAGGTCAATTCCTCTAAGTTCCCTGACCGTCCAGACAAACACTTTTGTCAGCACCAATCTTCCTGGGTGGTGGGGGAATTAGAATGGCACAGTTGCATCTCTCCTTACTCAAAAGCTTATAAACTGTTAGATGAGGTTTATTTTAATTGGGGCCCCTATGGACATATAATTTCCCCCTCTCATCTTAATATTTTTTATAACAGTACTACTAAAACCGTCACTTCACCAGGTCTTTTACGGTGGCGTGATGGTGGCATGGCTGGACCACAACTACAGCTTAGCTCTGGTCCCTTACAAGACACCCAGTGGAAGGTTGCTGCAGCTTTAGGTGCTTTAAGTATTTTTAAAATGGATGTCACCCTAGACACCACTAATGCAACCTCTATTTATGTACCTCTTGCTTATACTGTCCCTATCCAATCTTGCGTTTTTGCACCTTATGTTTTGCTTGTCGGACAAAACGTGGTTATCCAAAAGGATAACCACACAGGCCTCTTTCATGTTTCCTGTAAACATTGTTTTTTACATCATTGCATTTCTAAGGATAATGAAAATCAAACCATTTTGTTTATGTATCAACCCACTGCTGTTTGGCTCCCTGTGAATTTAACTGAGCCGTGGACACAAACTCCTACATTACCCGTTCTTCATTCAGTGATCCAAGCAGTTGTCATTAGGACTAAACGTATGTTAGAGTTCTTTATTGGCGTTAGTCTGACCATCATTGGCATAACTTCAGCTGTGGCTACCGCTGCGGTGGCTCTCACCCAGGATGTACACACACATACCTTTGTTAGTAACACGGTAATGAACTCTTCACAGCTCTGGCAAACCCAGCACCGACTGGATATTGCTGTTAGGGATGAACTAGACAGTCTGAAAGATGCCATTTCCTGGCTGGGACAAGATTTGGACACTGTGCATACTCAGGTGGAGTTGCCATGTCATGTTAATGTCACTGCGTACTGCATCACTCCCTTAAGATACAATGTATCTGAGTACAGCTGGAGTCAAGTTAGAGCACACGTGCTGGGTGCGTGGGGACAGCACAACGCTACCTTAGACGTAATTGCTCTGAAAAAGGATATCGATCGCTTCTGTACTCTCAATTTGGATACCGCTGGAGACGGTATCATTTCTAGTATTACTAAAGACTTACAGGCTTTTTATCCAACGATTTGGTTACGAAGAAACTGTATCTTTTTGATGATTATATTGCTCACGGTTTCTCTTTTCTGTTTTCTCTTTTGCAGTCTGCCAAAACGCAACCCACGTAAGAGACCAATTAAAGATGATTCTGCCTCAGCTTACCATGACAGTGTTGCCATTTCAAAAAATTAATAATAAAAAAATGGGAGGTGTCGGAGACCACGGCATGGCCTGAGCTCTGCTGAAGCGTGCTTGGCCGAGCTGCAAAGGTGACCGGTCAGGCTGTGCGGCTGGCAGAGGTCAGCCGCCTGACGCCGAGGCAGGTGTGGAGATGCCGTGGGCTCGGGCAGCAGCAGTTGAAACATTCTCTCCTGGTTAGTGTTTGGTGGGGAAGAATGTGTTTTCTTTAGGATTTCCCGATCCTGGG